GATTGTGCCTCCTCGTGGTCCAACAGATTTCGGGTGGGATCCTATTTTTCAACCGGATGGATTCGATCAAACGTGAATTATCCTTTCCTTTATTCATTCATTCGTCTTTCTGTAATTGAAATCCGGAATTTGTTTCGAGAAATACAATTTTTTTTTAAAAAAAAACTTTTCTCGTGCATCAATCGACACAGGTATGCTGAGATGCCCAAGTCTGTTAAAAATAAAATATCACATCGACACAAGGCATTAGAGAAATTGAAAGCGTTTCTTGCAGAAAAAGACAAATGACCCTGTCTCGAGGAGAGGTATGTGGCAATTTGGCGCGATCTTTCTCTCCATCGTCACACTAATCTATTGCAATCATGCATGTAAAAAGAATATTATTAGGTGGTGCGCCTGATGAGACTGAAGCAAATTACGTACATATCTATCTATCTTTTGTGAATACGAACCGGATAACATAATACATACAGTATATAGATATGACATTTTATAAAATTCGCGAAATATATCGATCATTTTTCCGCGAATCAAGCCCTGTTTATCATATTTTTGGTGACGTGTGTGTTGACATTTTTTTTAAACTTTAATTTACGCACGCACGCACGCACGTACGTGTATGTGTGGATGTGTCATACATCATATATTAAGTTTGTACGATTTTCCCCTGAAAGATACCCCTTGATGTGGGATGTGATTGGTCAGGTGAACTTAGACGTACTACATAAAACTGGATTTTTAAATTGGGTCTCTTTGAAGTTATTTATTTATCTATACGTGGTGTGTTCGCAACAAGAAAACCAAACGTTCAGTAAGTATGCAGAAAGTCGGTTCCTGGTGGCGGGAAAGACCTAAAAAAGTTGGGCACGAAATAAATATTTTAGAAATTTAAATTAAATAATTTACCTTTACTTATTACATCATGTTTCCTTTTTCTCTTACTTACAGTAAGTAAACAACCAAACTTTGTTCAAAGGTTTAATTAAACCAGTTGTAAAAAACGAAGTAGTCAAGCAGGTTGGCTGACTTCCCGATATTAACTTGGGTAACTTCTTTTTTACTCATAAATATTGGAGGCACTCTTAATTTAGACTGGAAACAACTTCAATATTTTAGGATGTCACTTTCTTCCACACAACAGATTAGTAGCTTTAACAGTAACAATTATATTCAAGTTAAGCCGAATAAAATGATTCGTGCTGAACTTCTACGGAAAGACACCGTACGACAGAGGAATCCGCAATATGTTCGAACAAGGCCTAATAAGATAGTTCGAACCATATCATCTAAGCCTATCGTCGCACCCGTTCGGTCAGTTACCGACGTATCCGCCGCATCGGACAAGGCCTCTACTAAAACAGAAAAAGCCCCGTCTGTCAACGCTCCAACAGATAACGTCAAAGCCTCATCCGCCGTTACCGTTCCTGACCAAGCTGAGAAAGCCCTTGCACGACAAGTACGTTACTCCACCGTGATCCGGTCTTTAGTTCGAGGTGGCTCCTCGAATCACCAACGGCCGCGCCAAACTTTATTCAGGCCTCGTGCCAAGTCCAATAAATACACTCGCTCAGATGTAGATAAAAAGGAGAACAAAAAAGAGGATAGCTCAAGGTAAGTTCTCTAACATCTTTGTGATATGAGGTGATTTTTAAGTTGAACGTTGAGGTTGTGGGGCATAATATGATTGCACAATAGCAGAAAATGTGCAATATGTCCTCCGCGTTGAGATAGATTAGGATCTTTATATTGTGTTATCAACCTTTTAGTCGACAAACTCCTAATCCTCCATTCAAGACTAAATTGGTAAATCAATATTGCAAGTACTTTCATAAGTGCGGTAAGTGATTTCAGACTTG